TGGGGGGGGGAGGGGTAGGCACAACCTGCGTGGGGTGGGAGGAGCAGGCGTGATCCATTGATGGGATGGGGGGAAGGTGCAACCAGCAGGTGGGTGGGGAGGGCAGGTGCAACCCACAAGTGTGGTGAGGGGAGTCCCCCAGCAAAACTACACCCCATCCCTCCTGCCCTTCCCCCCTCTGGGACTTACCTACTCAGCTCTGGCACTGGCAAACACTGATAAAAATGGCTTCAACCAAGGTGACTTGTGGGATGGGCATTGAGAGCGCTGGCTGGTGGGGAGCCAGGGGGTGGGGCACAAAAATAGACCAGTGCAGGGGAAGGGGTGAGTGAAAAGAGCAACCCCAGGGCTGGGGCGGTGGCTGGTTTTTCCAGCCCTGGGGCTGCACAGAGGAAGTGGACGGAAGTTCCATGCACTGATTTGACCTAAATCAGATGAGTCTGATTGATACATGGGTCCAGATTTATCTTAAACTTGGTTATGCAATTTTTAAACCAGTTTGTGTCCATGGAACTTCTGTTCTGTTACAGGTTTAGACTGATTTCCAGTCCCTGAGAACAGGTCTGAAAGAGTAAGGTCGACAGTGGGACAAGCTAAGTTTAAATTAGGCAGCCATTTTGAACCCAGTTTAACCTCCCAAATGCCTGTACTTAACCTAGCTCTTTAGAAAGCAAAAAGGGCAAACTTTAACCAGTCATTCTAGCTGTCCAAACTAGGAACATTATTGTAACTCAGAAATTAGGGTGATAGTTGTTAAGTGAAGCAAAAAATAATATAAACAGGTTCCAAAGTTATTCAGCTCATACAAATTTAAATATAAACTGCCCACCAGAAAAATCATTTCCTTCCAAACATGTTGTCCTTTATATATGAGAAAGCAATCAGTATATTTTGGGGGTGGGGAGGAGGAAGGGGACACTTTTACTAGTTCATTTGATTTGCTTATAACAAACTCAGCCATTGGCGGACCTGGTTGGCTGGCCCACCTCATTTATAAGTTTTGTTCTTAAACAGGACTTACATATCTCTGATACAAGGAGAGGCCTGCTAACCTTATTTTTATATTTAATGGTCAACATTCATCAGCCACATCTTCCTTGTATAATCATTTGCTTCCGAAGTTAAAACAGTCTTGTGAACATCAACAGGAGAAAATAAAAAAATAAGGTTATAGATTTTTTTAATAAAGCAAATTGAGAAAAAGTGTTTGGAAGCACACTTAATATCACAACATTCTCCTCTTATCTGAGCTCACAGATACTTGCTTGCAATATCTCATAAATGGCCTTTTTAAAAGATTTCTTCTCCTAATGATGTGCTCTGCTTGCTTACATTAATTGAAACTGGTGGAAAATTCAGTTTTCAAGATAAATTAGGAGGAAATAAACAATTTGTTAAAATAAACAATTTTTCAAAAATATGCCTTTTAGTCGTCTAACAAAAAATAACTTACTTATTGACTTAGCTTGTCCAAGGTTGAGATCAGTTCAGGTACCCAAAGTATCATTAATGTATGCTTTATTTCCAGTGTACCAACTAAATTATGGAACCAAAGGCTTTTTCTATACACATACGATAGTACATCAGTTACTTAAAAGATTCTGTAAAGTTTCTTACCTTATTGTTGTTTCTCCAAACGGCATATGTATGTTTGTGCATTTTCCTGTGCATTAAGAAGTCATGTGGTGAGACAGCATTTTTCTTTGTTCCAACCTTTGTACTCAACAAGCAAACAGGTAGTTTTGAAAAAAAAGAAAATGCAGAACGTCTTTAGCAAAATATTGACTAGGTTGAGCAATTTCTTCTCCTTGTCTGAGGCTTAATTGGATCAACCCTCAATAAGGAAGTCTGGTAGAAAAATTATTAGGCCTCACATGTCCAGATTGCACAGGAGAAATCAAATTGAGACACTGCAGCAAGTTTACAGAGAAAAGAAGGTTGGGGTCAATTAAAGAAATAGAGAGAGTGGGAAGAAGTTTATTTTGTAAATGGGATCCCATCATTGAATAAGTAACATCTTAAGTGTTATAGTCATACACATTTTAAAAAGAAAATCTATATTTTGAAATTGTCCTCTTTATAACTTGCCAATTTGTAAATAAAATCTGCTTATTGAAGCTACTCTCTCTAACAGTTGCTTAAATCAGTCACACACGGCACATCTACACGTGAATTAATGTGCTGTAATTACAGCGCATTAAGTTTAATACCTGCAGGTACTAACTTAATGCACTGTAATCAATGCTACTGCACAGTAGCACTGGCACATGCTTTTTTGTGATGCTAATGCTCAATAGATTCATTGTACTGTACATTAGCACAATTTTTGCCTGTCGAGCTAATGTGTATTAGAATTAGTCTACTGCACTTGTAGCATCTTGTGTAGATGCGCCCACTGTCATCCTGTATTTAAGAAGCATGCAGAGGTTATAACCATGCAATGGTTATTTTAAATTAAGCTTGTTTTGTGTGCAAAACTTACATTGATTTCCAATATGTGTTAAGAAAGAATAATTGAGCTGTCTTTAATATACAGTGTATCATGCGTATGTTTCAGAGAAAAAAAACCCTATAATGATGTAACACTTTGCTATCTGATGGAGCATATTTTAATCTGGAGGGTAAAATTACCTGGGTTTTTTTGTGAAATTGGGTTGTTTCAGGGGAGTGGGAAATGGAGGAAGAGTTTGGAATGGATACTTTTTT